TTTAAAAAGCAAATAAAATCAGAATTTTAAAAAAAGGAATAATAAAGAGGCAAGAACGCTGTCGGACTCGGAGAAATGTGATGCTCAACGTTTCTTAGGAACATGGATTCGAAGGGGGAGCGGTTCTTTTTTNTAAAGGGTTTTTTAAAAAAATAAGCAAATAAAATCAGAATTTAAAAAAAAGGAATAATAAAGAGGCAAGAACGCTGTCGGACTCGGAGAAATGTGATGCTCAACGTTTCTTAGGAACATGGATTCGAAGGGGGAGCGGTTCTTTTTTTCCGTCCCCCGGGCCCAAAATCTCCTAGGGACCACGAGTAAAACACCCACAAGAAGTGCGGTGTCGCCTCGTCCTCCCTCCGTCACCCCGCCTTTCCACGGGTTGTCTAATTTGAGCGCCGGGCGGGAGGGAGAGCAAGCCGATGCCTATCCTCGCCTACTCAAGAGTAGGTCCACTGAGTTCGGAGGAGGGCATTCCTTCCAGGAAAGCGTGCGTAGGGTTGCAATCTTGCGCGCGATCTCCCTCCCTCCATCCCTCCCTCTCTCTCCACCCTGGTTCAGTGAAGGACATGACTCTGTACATGCGGGCCGGTTTACCTGGTGCTCACCCCCCCGTTGAACTCGACCGGGCTTACTCTCGAGAAACGCCTTCCTCCTCGGGCAACGGAGCTCACGAAGTAACAAGGACTTCTTGGTAACTCCCAAGATTTCTCCGCAGTTCGAGGCCAAAAAGATCAAAGGTATTTGGGTCTTTAAAATAGTGAACATTCCTTTCACCCTTAAAAAAAAAAGATCCAAACATTTAATGCGAGCGATAAATATCCTAAATTGTAATCCTGAGTCCCCCTTCTTTCTTTCTCTTTCTCTCTCTCTCGCCCCCTCTTCTTCCCCCCCCCCCGCATTGCCTATAAATCCACTCATTTTCTCGTTCTGGAAAGCATTTGCAAAGAACGATGCGGGGGGGAAAGAACCCGGTGTCGGAAAGAAAAGGACTCCGCCAGAAAGATGCCCAGCGATTGTAATATCTGGAGCTCGGCGGAGCCCCCGAAGGCTCGCTCCATTGAAGGCTTCTCACAGGATTTGCCGCCATGTCTCGGCAGGAAACATACCATCTGATCAGGTTCAGACGCGCGGGGAGGAAAAGAGGGCTTCAAACGGCGCTGTGTTTTAAAGAAAAGAAAAGAAAAAGAAAAA